GGGGCCATCAACAAAGGCACGGTTCTGACCACCGGTGTCAGTGGACCTCTCTGGAATCAAGATACCCGGACTTTCTCCATCTCAACACTCATACCGGAGCCATCAGCAAACCCTGTCAGCTCCACTGTCACCATCTGCTGCGTTAGAATCCAGCTACTTCCCATCACTTCCAGGGCCTCCGCCCCGGAGCCAACTCCCGCTACCTCATTCCTAGGGATGCCTCTGTCCTGAGCCCCAGTTCCTCCCTCACCCCACACACGCTGTTCCCATCTATGGCCACGAGGGAGCCCCCTCCCTCTGCTCCTCAGAACCCTCCCCGACTCCCCCTCACAGTAAAAGTCCCTGCCTGTCCTGCAGCCCCCAGAGCTCTACAACCTGCCTCTTCACCTCCTCCCACCCTCCCACCTGTCCACTCTCTCTGGCCTCATTGGCTTCCTTCTGTGTGACATAATGGCAAGACCAGGGAGCTTCAGAAAGTTTGGGGGAAATTCCATTATCTCCCAATTCCATTTCCCCGTGAACTTGCTGAAGCCCCTTCGTATTCCCACCCAAGGCCTTTGGATGCGTTACTCCCTCATCCTGTGCCGCTCTTCCTTTGGAGTCTCCCAGCATCCCCACTGCCCCAGGGCTCCCCGCTCCCCTGCTTCAGTCCCTGTCCTCTTCTTAGTAAGGCTGTCGTTGACAACGGTCACCACCCAGCATTCCCTATGTCCTTCCCTGTGCCAATTCTCTCTATGGCGCTATCACCTTCGAACACAGCATGGATCATATTTGTGTATCTGGCTTCTTGTCCATCTCCCGGATCAGAACCTCCCTACCCAGAGGTGGGGTTCTCCTCTTGTTAATGTCGGATCCCTCGCAGCTACAACAGTGCCTGGCATGTTGGCTGCCATTGAGGTCTCTTCTGAGCCAAGGTGACTCCATGAGGAATGGAATGGAATGCCGCCCGGGTCCTGCACCATCCCCACGGCTGACTGTGGACTGGACAATGGCAATAGCGGGGTTTTGGAAATAGGCCCGCCTGGTATTTGCACACTGCTGTCAAGTCTGTTTTGACTCACACTGGCCCTGCGTGGACAGAGAACTGCCCCCTAAAGTGTCTGTCTTTGTGAGAACCAATGGCTCTATCTTTCATCAGCTGCTGGGTTTAAACACCAGTTTTGTGGTTAGGAGCCCAGTGCTTGATCTGTTGTGCCATTTAAGCACATACAAACCCCCAAAACAAACTCACTGCCAGTGAGCCAACTCTGACTCGTGGCAGTCCTATAGAACAGGTAGAACCATCCCCACCTTCCGTGGGTTTCTGAGATTGTAACTCTTGAAGCACATAGTAGGTGCTTAAAAAAACACCCACTGCCATCAAGTCCAGTCCGACTCTTGGTGACCTTACAGGGAAGAGTAGAATTGCTCCATAGGGCTTCCGAGGCCAGATTCCTTATGGGAGCAGATTTGCCAGGGCTTTCCTCTCATGGACTGGCTGGTGGATTCCAACCACTGGCCTTTGGTCACTTGAGTGTTTAACCGCTGTGCCACCAGGGCTCCTTATAGATGCTTAATAATATTTATCAAGTGGAAGCAGGTGGGAAGGTAGAGGTACCTCTTCCCAAGACTTAACCTTCTCAGGAACCCCCACCCCCAAATCCTTGATGGGGAGCCCGAGGGGCGGCAGCCTCCTGGGCCAGGGGCACTTACACAGCTATGGACATGTTGGCCGCGGACAGAGGACTCACTTCTGCCACCTCCTTGGCTTTCTGGAGGGCAAGTTTTTGGTTGGCTGCCTCTTCTTCTTCTTGTTCATCCTGAAAGGCACACAGGATTCCTGTTCACAAACCATGAACTAGGCCTGGGGACCTCACCTATGGTGGACCAGGGGCAACACCTGAAATGCTTACACAGGGTTGGCCAGGTATTGAGCCATTAGTATGAGGCTGGCAGAGAAGCCTGGCTCGGATGCCGGATAAGTGTACTGCTAACCACTTCGTGTCCAGGCTCCTGGCTAACCCTCCTTTTACCCACAGCCATGGCCCTTCCGGCAGGGAGGAGACTTGCATGCAAAGAGCTGGCATTCACCTTGTTTTGGAGGCTCTCTGAGCTCTCTGAATCAAGACTTCAAACACACACACACACACACACACACACACACACACACACACACACCCTACTAGCCCCCACATGCGGAAAAGTCTACTCCATATCTGAGCTCTCTGAACCAAGACTTTTAACACACACACACACCCCTACTAGCCCCGACGCGCAGAAAAGTCTACTCCATGCACGGCCTACAGCCCCAGCTA